ATAATGTCCTCTCGCACATCGCCATGCAAGTCCATAGCATACACAGGCAGTCACTTAGGGACTTGAGAAATATGCCCGAGTAGAGCGGACAAATACAAGATCGGAATGACCATTTCTGACTTATTACACGTTAGCAGATACGGGTCTCCGCCCTCTGATTATGCCACTGATGACAAATCCGCGACGGATATCGAAACGTCAGGCAAATAAAAGTATTGTCCCAGCAATCGAGTCGTCTTAGTCATAATAGGCGTATAAGCCGGTCATAGCCAGTCTCAGATGTACATCCAGCACCAGTATGTTCCCTAATCAGATGGATCTGTGATCGCCCTACTTCCATCATATTCGCGATCTCAACCGACAAAGCAACGAACCCATGATACAATACTAGAATGCTGCACTTAGTGACCCAAGGTCAAGGGTTCGAACTCCGGGTGATCCACACCTACGATTGAGTATGACTGGCTGATGACGGCTAGTAAGCCAGAAATGGTCATTCCGGTCTCCCTGGTCTTTGTGAGTTGCACTATGCCACTACCTGCGAGGGCAGGTAGCATTCGCCAGAAATGCTGCGAAAAGCAGTGCAAATTGGCTTCCTAACAAATTAACGGTATGTACGGCTTATGATATCCCACCAAAAGCCAAACAGTGCTCTTATCCACTGTCAGATAGAAAACGACTAATAGGAGAGCACCACTGTGAAGGCGGTGTACTACTGCGGACTTGCTATGGATAAATTCGAGCTCAATACATCCATTTGTTATGTTGATTAGAACAAATTTGAAATAGTACACGCCATTGCTTACTATAGCACCTCATTCACTTGAAAACCTAACAATTTGACAGTATTCGCCGAAAACCTCAGTAAAAGGAGAGACAGGGTTGGTGAGTTTCTCAGAAATTAGGACTTGGACTTGCGCGTCATCTGCCGCACTCTCTCTCTCTCTGTCGCTTCTCCAACTAGCCCGGTGACTGAACCAGGGCAAGCAGACCGTAGGTTGCAGAATACGCGTGTGACTACATGGGGCTTGCGTCCAAATGAGCGTCATGGAGGCAGAATTACAAAAGAGTCTGTCGCTCAAGCTGCTCGTCAGTTACGTCCCAACCGACAGTTCGACCGTCGCTCTCGGCCATGTCCACCACGAGCTCCAGCAGGCTGAAGCAACGCGATGACTCCCGCAGAATTATATTGAAAGTAGACTTGCGCCAAATCTACCCTCCCCCCCACCACTCCCACACCGGGACCCGGTGTTAAGACAGACGTCAAGAAGACCCGAGTTGGAGGAGGACGCACGCAGCTGACGTGTAGGTAGGCCCCCGCGTGTGAGCGCCATAAAGGCCAC